TTGCTCTGATACCATAACAAATTTGTTACAGTGAAAGATTATTTTGAAAACAATGCAGGCCAATCTTTATACAAGGAAAAAGCACGTAAAAAGAGAAAAAGATAAAGAAGGAAGCCATAATCATAGGAGAAAAAATAGGAGAGAATTGTGTAATCTCGTTTAGCTCTGTCGCTCACTCAATAGAAATCGAAATCGCAATCGGCTGGCTCTCGCTCTCGCTCGACGCTCTCTCTCTCGCTCAACGTTCTCGAATCTCGACTAGTCGACTATCGACGGCCGACTGCCGGTCTGCGGCTGCCTCTCTCGTCGCCGGTCGCTCTCGCTCTCTGCCTCCCGGCTCCCGCTCTCGCTCTCCGGCCTCCGCCCTTCGCCAATCGCCACTCCCCCATGGCCCTCTCTTTTTGTGACTACTTACTTTTGTTGAGGTTAGGGATTTAACATTTAAGTCTTTAACTTAGGGTTATTATATTACTTATTTTATTTTTTAAGTTTTTAATTTTGTTTAATTGGAAAACAGTTTTTAATTTTGTTTAATTGGAAAACCTAATAATGAAACTAGCTCAGAAGCTGTGATTCTGTAAAATTGGTGACTTACTTTGTTTGACTCATTGATTGATTTTGTTTCAATTGTTAGTTGTTACAAACTAGTGAAACCACAAAATTAGAATTTAGAAACAAATGACAACCATTTGTTAATGTTTTACAGATGCTTAATCTTATGTTTAACACTTTAACTTAGGGGTTAGGGTTGTTTTACTAGTTGGGACTTGTGGCTGTTTTTGGGGTTGTTATGTTTTGCAATTTCTAAATAAAATCCATGAAATGAGTCTGGTTACTCACTTCTGTGTTCTGTCCTTCCATTTTATATTTTCTAGGCTGACATATTTGCAGACATTGGTGTTTGTCAAAGCTTCTGCTGCCATTTGTTGGGTGGTTGGCCCAAATTCCTGTTCACTATTTACATCCTTTAAATTCCTTTCAATTTGCTCAAGTCCTAATTTTTTTACTTTTTAGGGCTGTTTAGATGCTTTTTAGGAGCTGTTTTGAACGGGTTAGTATAGGACAAAGGCTTAAAATTGATGCTTAGTATCGGATAAAGGCTTAAGCTTTTTAGGAGCTGTTTTGAAGCGGGTTAGTATAGGACAAAGGCTTAAGATTGATGCTTAGTATAGGATAAAGACTTAAGTTTTTCAGGAGCTGTTTTAGCTTATATTAGTTATGACAAAATGATAGATATTTTTGCTTCAAAAAATGCAAGAAGGCATCGTTTTAGGTGAATGGTAATGTACTTTATGTTTTGTTACACGGGTTTTGGTTTATCCTTCCGACCCCCGCATCATTTTTGTTATATTAAAAAAAATCAGCGTGAGGATGAGCCGACTAGATTGAATAGGTTCCAAATCCCTTCAAATAGTTTATTTTGGTTTTTATATACACACATAAGGGGCATTTTTTTTGCTTTCCGCCGTGGGCATCCAAAATCTCAGGACCGGCCCTGACTATGCAAGAATCATGTTTTCTAGATTAAAAAGGCGAGTCCCAGAGAGCTCAATCCCTACTTCAACAATGATGGAAGTGGTTACCCAGAAGAGGCAGATAGAGCAAGTTCTGGAGGTAGTAATCTGCTGCCAAATTCCGTAGTAGGGGATGGAGGTGCAAGCTGGAGACTTAAATCTTTAAAGCGTGCTCAAGAGCAAGCAGCTCGTGAAGGAAAAAAGCTTGATGAGATGCATTTTGAATTAATAATCTGTCATTTAGCAAGGCATTACTGACCCTATGTTGTCATCATTATCATCATTATCTGCATCATCATGTGGATTGAGACTTTGCAGGTAGTTGGAGAGCGGTGGGGTTCTTTGGGGAAACTAGCAGTTTCCATGGCATCAGCTTCTGCTGCACCATCTCATGCTCACCTTCATGCCATAAAGAATAGAATAAGACTGCAGACCAGAGAGCAGCAAACGACACCAGCTGATCGAAGTGTAAGAATTAACCAATATCCCTTTTCATTTGGAAGGTATATTGCGACTTGATTTTTTTAATCATAATATTTCGATGGAAGGTCATTACTGATCGAAGGAAAAATACCTGTTCAAGCCACTAACCTTCGCAGAAGGGTCACTAGGCAAAAAAGTCAACAAACAAGCCGTTAGTATTGGCTTCAGTTAATAGATAGCCCAATTCCATCAATTTTTGTTTCTATTCTGGCCAGGTAGTTTAAAACATATGAGATGACCATGTTACTTTTGCATCTTTCGAAAGAATCTGGTCAGTGATTTTATTTTTCAACCCACTCTACAATCAAACCAGACCGAACCAAACCAAACATACCCAATATATCACTCAAAGGTAGGGTCGGAAGTAGGATGGATGCAGACCTTTCTCGATCCCAAGAGGTAGGAGGCTGTTTTTTTGCAATTCAAATTTTGAGAAGAAACAGAAGAGCATGAGAGAGATGAAAACGAAGTAGCAAAAGAGTGCATGCAAGCATAGATCAACTACAGTAAACAATAAAGGCAGCAGGGACATATGTGAGGGAAATAGGTTAAAAMAASMAAGGAAACACTAAACCATCTAAAACGCAATACTGAAAACTACTTGGACTATATGACCCAATTACCTAATTGGCTGATCCAAACGTTAAAACGCCTACCATGTCCATAATTTGGATGGAAACTTGATTAAACCAGCACCTTTGTTCAAATTAAATACAGTGGATAGAAATACAATTTAAAAGCTTCAAAACCCAAGTCCCTAACTGCACTACCAAGCTCTTTTTCCTCATCATTTCCATAGTGAAACCTCAAACGTTTTTGAACATGAGGGAACAGGCATTTTTAAATCTACGGTTGAACATGAGGAATATATTAGCTGCCAAAGGTTAGTGTAAAAGAAATTATGGGAGAGAACTTTGTGTATGTAGAGAGTGGATGTTCTCGTGTATGTGCAGATGGCTTTGATTCATTTGAATAATTCATTTCAGACTCTTGTGTGTCTGTCTTTTTGTCTCTATTATTATTTTGAAGATCAGTGGTGTAACGTACACTGTTGTCTTCTGCTCTGCTTGATCGACTACATTGACAAGAAACGGTTCTGTCATGTTCCGAGGATGAATGAAAGCGATACTCATTTCAATTATGATTCCAAATTCTTGTATCAGTAAATGGTTTCATTAGTTTCCAAGATAATGAAGATGAGATGAAAAGAATCAATTTATTTGGGAGAGAGTAGTAAGATTGCTACCTTAAGAGTTAAACTTTAAAATATTTGTGTGTGTGTGGTGGTGGTGGTTATGATGAAGCAGATGAATTATAATGGAATTACATATAAGAAACAATACTTTAAAAAAGCCAAAAAATTGGAGAGCTTTAGGGAGTCCAGAGTCCTTGTTACTAACAGTTAGGAGTGAATCTTTAAATTTGTCGAGTGTTGTGCTAGAGTGAAAAAACTCAATCTGTTTATTAAATAATTAGAGTTCAGGTTAGTGGCCTATTATTTAACTTGTTCCAGTTAGTGAACTTTTGTCATGTATGTCACAGATTAACGGACTGCACTTTTATTTTTACTAAATTTTACATCGAATCTTCTCTGATTTCATCAACTGGTTGTGTTAGTCTGTTTTCATGATGTATTTGTTGATATCAGGACGCTGAAAGGGATAGCCAGAAGGGCATGCCTCAACAGCATGCTAAAAATAAAATGAGAGTGCCTAGACCTGATGATTCTTTATCTTGGGGGAAGCAGAAAAGTCAGAGCATGTCAGTTAAGGATGCTGGTGTCATTTCTTCTGCATTGTCCAGCTTACAAAAGTTCACCAATGATGGAAGTTTCTTGAAAGAATTTAAATCTCAGCAAGATGATGATTCATATTCAGATCGTGACGGGAAAGTTGCATCTGATGTGTCCAAATCTGAAAAACCATCTCGTGTAGACGAAGGACACATAAAGCCTGCACTAAGTGCAAACCAGTTGGCTGCTAAAGTTATGCAGCTCCGTATGAAAGGAAAGCATGACGAAGCTGAGAAACTTCTGGTAAGGAATAATGTTGGTTTGCACATCATTTTCCATCTAGCCACATTTCTTTGAACTCATTAAATATTTGCCTTTCTATATATGCAAGTAATTGGGATTTGGGTGCACATGAGGAATTCGTGTCCTATTACATTTGTATAATATGAAGAGATGCATGTTAGCGATGGCATAAGAGGTTTAGAAAATATACATGTAAGGAAGAGATAGCATGGGGTATTGTTGTCTTTTAAGAGCATCTCCGAGAGATTCACCAAAATGGAGAAAAATGAAGGTTTTGAGCAAATTTTTCTTCCAACAGATTCTCCAAAACTTTCTCCAAAATGGAGACAAAATGGGAGAGAGTGAAATTCTCCAAATTTGAAGAATTCCCCAAAAATGATTTCCTTGTGAGAGACAAATTTTTAATTATATTTCCGCCAATAGAAAACCTTGGTGTTAAATGTTTTATGGGAGAGAAATAATATTTTACTACATGTATAATATATTTTAATAATATAATTAATTTTGCAATGTTCAAAATAGAAAATCTGTTCAAGTTGAATGTAATTTTTTATGGAGATTCTTGAGTTTTGATTCCCATATGATGATGTGACATTATAACACCTCAAAATTTTGGAGAATCTGTTGTTTTCTTCTCTCCTTTAGTAATTTTTCTTTCACCTTTGGTAAAAAGAAGAAACCAAAATTCTTGGCATTTGAAAATTGCTGTAGTGATGCTATTCAGCGAACAGATTATAAGCAATACAATTAACACCTGAAGCAACCTCCGTGATCTTAATCTGAAAGAATCAAAATTGTACCATATATATGAACATCGTTTGCAAGATTTTTTTGCTCTTTGCTTGTCCTAAATTTAGGCTTCCACATGTATACCCTTGGGAGCTCATGGATATATGATTGGTAATTTTTTATTGCAAGAATTCTTGATATGTACTTAGAAATTAATGCTTAAACTTTTAACTTCCCTCGTGACACGGTGAAAATATTTACCTGGTTGTTTTGAAATGATGCTTTTATTACACGGGTTGAACACTGTTTTTTCTCTTCATATTCTTCTACCACACACTGTTAAAGCACATACAAGTAATTATAATGTCTCTATGCTGGAGGAGCTCCGTTTGATGCCATCRCTAATAATTCCCAATTTGTTTCTAAYTTCAGAAAGAGGCAGAAGTGCATRAAGGGGAAAGCAAAGCGGGTACCATCACAACCAATCCACAGGGTGATGGAACTATGAGCAGGTAAATTTTGTTCTGGAGGAATTGGCTTATATTTGCAGGGTTTCCCCCGGGTTAAGATAAATATCACAAAAAAACCGTATTGATTTGAATTTTGTATGTTCTATATGCGCCTCTCTCATGGAGTTCCATATACAGATCTATTTGTCATGATCATTTATACCCTTTYTGTTTTTGCTTTATAGGTATATCATGCATGGCATAAAAGCGCGTGAAAAGATGAAAGAGGAAGATGCTGACATGCATGTAGCTCGTTTAATAGTGCAAAACAAAAAGTATAGTATATCAGGTCAGGCAGATGATGAATACGATTATGACGAGGGACCTAAAAGAAAGAAACGGGGTAAAGGTGATGATGTTCCTAAATCAATGGGAAATACCCGTTTCGAAAAACACATTTTAACTCTGCAAGAGCGCTGTAACTTTTGCTTTGAGAACCCTAAGAGGCCACGACATCTTGTTATTGCGATTGCCAATTTCACATATTTGATGTTACCTCAGTGGAAGCCTGTTGTACCAGGCCATTGTTGCCTATTGCCTATGCAGGTTAGTTTTTATCAGTCAGTTTGCTTTATTCACAAGAAAAGTATAAGCTAATTGGGTCATAAAAATTGAAATCATATATCTCTAGATTCATTTGGTCACAGTATCTCTGAGTTGTCGTAAACCATAATATGTTGAAAACCGTAGTATGTTGCAAACTTGCAAACCAATTTCATGTGTTATATGAAACAACAGCCAATTCAATTGTTGCTTGATGTAGTAATAGAGGTGTCTAAGCTTGAAAAGTCCAAAGAGTGCAGATTAGCCTCGGAGCTTGGATACTTGGTTTTGGAAGATATGGCACTAAAAGTGGTAGAGATGGTCATGTAAAATATGCAATCTTCATACAGTGTTGTTTTATCTATGAAACATTCGGAATTGTTTTGTGTGTGAAAATAACATTAGTATACACTTTATACATAAAACACACACAATAACAAAACRTATGAAGGAATATGAATCATAGCTTAAAATCAAGCTCGTTCAATGGGTTTGGATTGGTTTTCACGGGTTTGTAATAAATTTGYTGTTTTTATTTGATTTTCAATGTAGCATGAGTTAGCAACAAGAAGCGTTGATGATAACGTRTGGGATGAAATACGCAACTTCAAGAAATGTCTTCTAATGATGTTTGCTAAGCAAGAGATGGATGTTATATTTCTTGAAACAGTAATGGGGTTGGCAAAGCAGAGCAGGCATTGTTTGGTGGAATGCATTCCTTTGCCTCCAGAAATTGCAAAACAGGCTCCTCTCTATTTTAAGAAGGTTTGTGTTATTTCAGTTACTACTTCCGTTTCAAAATACGTGTCCATAGTTCTATTTTAGCTTGTCCACTTTCAATTCTACCCTTATTAATTATAAGACGGAGAAATTCATCACTTTCTCTATTATCAAGGGTAAAATTGTCATTTAGTTAATTAAAGATTGTAATAATTGTACATTCTCGTAACTTTGTGCCTTTTTCATTGTGGGGGACACAGGGTGAACCGTTTCTCTGTTTAGTAATTTTTATCAACATAAGATACGAAAGAAACCTTTTTTGTATAACGATAAAGCCATATATGATATTGTGGTTTTTTGTTTGCAGGCAATAGATGAAGCTGAAGAAGAATGGAGCCAACATAATGCAAAGAAGTTAATTGATACAAGTGAAARGGGGTTGCGTAACTCGATACCGAAAGACTTCCCGTACTTCCATGTGGAGTTTGGTTTAAAGAAGGGATATGTTCACGTTATCGATGATGAATCCCAGTTCAAAAGCAGTTTTGGTGTTAA